GATTGCAGATGAGTAGAGACGTACAACTTCTTGTTCTAGGTACCAATCCTAATTGACTATGGAAACTGGAATCCTGCTCGACTATATTACTTATTATCGATTTGAGGTAGTTCAGTAGAGCAAAAAATTTTGTTAATCTATGTGTAAAACGCAGATATTGTCCTTGAACATCGTATCAAGTACGAGGTTGGCGAGGGGCCAATGGTAGCGGTTTAGGACGTAGGTACGAGCCGCGGCCCCCACATTTCGCAAGCCAGACTGAGGGTGCTACGCCCAATCACACAGCTTTTGCCTTCATTACCCTCATGAGTGATGGCAAAACCAAGCACGACCTGCAAAGACTTGAAGGTCTTTTGAGAGCACTTTTCAGTGCCACCGGTTACCTTCAATCGTTCGCACCGTCAAGTATCATTGTCTGAGGCATTGTGAAAACAAGTTGGGCAAGAAAAAAAGTGCCTCCGGAGGGAATGAGGACCCTCACCCCTATTTTGTTCCAGTCCTCCTCCTCCATCTTCGACCTCCCGTTCTCTACATCACCCATCCTTCCACAAACAGCTTTCATTCCAACGAAATCGCGAGACAGCGTAAAACCAATACGATACTTGGTTTCTCCTTTCCAATACTTAAGAAAAGACAATGATCAATCAAGAGGGAAAATTTGAAATGAAATCTCCAAGCTGTAAAAGATTAACTTGTAAACCTTTGTGAAAAGGAGGAAACGAACAAAACGACCATAACTGTTACAAAAAGTAGCAATACAGAAGGTAGGGAATGCCATCGGTTGAAGTACTGGAAGTGACGATGGTGGTACTGATTGGACAGGAAAAAACAAGTGATGCAAATTGTGTGCGAAGAAAGGAGGGAGGAAGGAAGGAAAATTTATCCTGATTCACATGTCATAACCGCTGCTGCAGTACTACCATCGCCTCACCACTGGTTAACACCAAACACGCGCACGCGGTAGAATTGCGGCAATTTCGGGAGAATGCTCAGCAGAATTAGGGTCGAAGCGTTGATCACGAAGTGGATCGGATCGTATTGTGTGTAGAAACTGGCGAGAATGAAGCTAGAGGAAAATCAAGCAGAGTGAGGAACTCCATACTTTATTAACAATCGAGGGAAAATCAAACAAGCTCAGTGGTTGAGAGTGTCAAGATTGAGGCACCTGTGCTCTCAATCCGCGTGGGAAGCATAGTAATCAGCAATAGCCTTGAAATACAACTACACAAGTCAATCGTCTATAGGGGTCAAACATACTACTTATAATCCAAGGATAAGTAGGCAAAATGTGTTGGCCATCTTACTAACTGATGACCGCATAATGGTAAAGCAACCAAAGAGAAACCAAATAGCAGGGATCGAGAACTGAAGTTATCAGCCTTCCCTGCAAACTGCGCAGGTCCTAAAATCCAGCAAAGCGGAACTAGCTTCCACAGCAGTAGACCCAAAATACAGGCCTCTCCCTTGTTTTTTCGACGGTTGGACCTCAGCCTCATTCTTATGTGGCGTGCTGAAATAACTTTGCTTTGCAGAATCTTGTTCTTCCCGAAAGAACTTATGTGAAAAGGAGGGATAGTTTGTAACCTAGTGGTGGGGAGATTAAAGGCCACGACTGGAAAGTTTCACCTTATTTTGACAGCCGTCTTCAATTGAATCTCGATCAGGTAAATGAGCTAGTCACCTATTTGACACACGGCATAAAAGCGGGACCTACAAATGTATTGGGTCATTGGAGACGAGGATGATAAATATCCATTTGCCAAACATTCTGCAGCTTAAACGGAAAAATAAACCGCACCATTTGATAGTCTAGGGTGGTGCATTGAGATATAAAAGTGCTGCTGGTCAGTACATTGCTCACATGACAATGGGAACGACGAGAAGAAACTTCTTCGTCGGTGAATATTGTTCTCCATCGTCAAACTGTTCCCACTGAGTTAGAATTCTTTCTTCTCCTTGATTCAGTGTCTCGTAGGGACTGCCTTTCTCCCAGTGAAGAACTAGATAGGTCAACTGTGTAGAGAAAAAAAAATAAAAGCTGTCACAAAGTACAGAAAGGAGAGAATGGAATGAACGCATTAGAGGTGCACGACTTCACGAATGGACAGCAAGACGAGACACAAAGAGATGTCCCATTACTTTGCATTGCATTTCAGCAAAATACACAAACTATCACTGATACAAATCTTCTCATACAGGAAGAGTAGAAAAAAACAACAATGAGCTAATACTATGTCCAATAGTCCAGCTATTCCGATAAGTGCGTAATTATAACTTATTATCTCACTCTACCAGTAGCCTAGAAAATTGGTAGGTGCGTAATGGGTGCTCAACGAACTCATTCCAGTGACCTCAAATTAGAGAAAGCGCCCTTAATGTCCTTCAAGTAGAAGGGTCAATCGAGCCCTTGTTATCGACCTGTGTGGTGCTTTGAAGGATAAAAGAAGATTAGGACACCAGCAAGTTGCTTACGGTGGAGGTAAAGAGCTTAAAAGAGGATTCGAGTCGACTACCGCCTCGTGAACAAGGTGAGGAGTACACAGAGGAGTTAAAGAATCGATGCATGCAAATAGTAAGCAGCTGCTACTGTTGACGTGATTATGCAACCACCTTGGCAACGCGGTACCATAATGACGGTTAGCGGCGAGGCAGTCAAAATGGAGTACATAAAAGTTCAACACTTGCGAGCATTGCGACCAAAGCGAAGAAGTAGGAGTCTTCCGTGGCACCCACGGAGCTAATCAAGTGATAACCCATTGCAAAGAATAGGTAGCGTATTATCGGGACCCATTTTTCAGATAGTTTGACTAGACATTTGAAGGCACCCCCACCTAAGACTAATAAGGGCACAACACGCGACGGAAATCACAAAAATTGAAATTTTGTTGGAAGTCTCACAGACATGCAAATTTCCTAAGCACCCGAAATGCCCTTTTGAAGGGTAAAAAATAAAAATTAGCATTAACAAAAGCAAAATGGTTGGTTCCGACGTTGCATTGAATAAATTATTTTAGGAAGAAAGGTTAAGCTGGGAAATTTGATCAGATACCCCTGTAAAGATGTTATTCATTTTTAAATGGTTACTATAAAATGGACACAAACTTATAGGTGGAGAACAGGTTCTCCCTGACCTTAATTCAGCCTAAATGACTGAAGTTAAACATCTTAACTATAAACGGAGGAAAACTTCAAAAAGTTTTGGGGGATTATCGGCTTGACAGTATTACTGCTTCATTGAGGTGTGATCAAAGCACAGTAACAAGTAGTACAACAAAAAATTAGATGAAATCAAGATAAAAGGGAAAAAAATAGAGATATTCACAGTGTAGAAGGCACACGTTCATGATAAACCAAGGCCCCCTTCAATCAAGCGAAAATTTCATCGGTAAAATTGCTAGCATGAAGTAGTAATAAAAGCGATAAAACTAGCTTTTCGAACATTAGCAAGCGATTCAGATGCGGTCAGAGGGGATTTATGGAGCTGTCGCAACACGCTTTCAACACATTATTCATCAAGGTTTGAGGTGGGAAGTGATTGACATAACCGAGAGAAAAGTATTCAACTTAAACCAAAGGCGAAGAAAGGCAGAAGGGCGTAACTAGGGTCAGACTACGAATTATACTTCCGGCCTTATAGGACTAAAATCAAACTATCAATCTGAAACAATCATGCTCAAAATGGGGCATACCTGAGGAAAGAACACGCTACATTCACGTGACGAGTTAGCAGACGTGCTATTAATAGTTAATATGGCACAATGGAAAGGCGTTCCAAAACCCGCCACAATAATCTTAGTTTAGACACCTAACCACCGTCTTTGGTAAAAAAGCATACAGATGCCGAAACACAGAAAAAAACTCAAGAAAAGGAATAGAGGATTTACAAGAAACCGAACTATTCAGTCAATTTCTCACGTAAACATCATGTAAACCTACAAAAGTTTCTCAACCTATATGGGACGGACTCAAATGGAAGATAATTAAGTCAGTTTGAGAGAGTGAAATGAGCAGAAAGCGGAAAGAGATGACCAATTCATGAATAAAAGATCAACATATGTGGGCATCTTCGGGTTACACCCGTGACTAAGCAATCAAAGCACACAAGCAGACAAATATACGTACACGTGACTAACGGTGAAGTGTGTACCAGTATCTGTAGGACGATCGGAAGTGCAATTTGATTTTGAGGCAAAAATGCTAAGGACTCACAACATTATGCAAAGTGCAAGTAAGTGTCCATACTGAGGCTACGGAGAGGAATGGAATGCAGAGTAGAATAAGATGACAACCGGCAATGAGGAGGAGATATGTGATCCAGGTTCCAGTGCTGTTGAGGTATTCTGACGTAGGATTCGCTGTGGAGGTTGCAGTTCCAACCTGCATCTATGAGACCAAAATTGGTAGTTATTGATGTAGAAACTGAACATCTCAAAGCTACATAAGATAATAAAGCCAATATGCAGGACAGGAATAGAATTAAATCGATGTCTTGACTCCGAGTAAGATAAATGAAAGCACCAAGCAACCCTCCAGGCATCCAAACACTGGTTGACATGTTAATGGGATTAGGTGTTGCATAAAATCGATCACAAGCGCGTAATGCTTGGATACTCAAATTTCCGATAAAATTACCTTTAACAGTAAATTGAGGCACCAATGCTTGTTCGTAATGCAAACTACAAATAAACGCTGTTAGAGAAAGAACAGTCATCAACCAATGAGGACAAGGGTCGCAGCATCAGCATTAATTTTGTATATCGCAGGCCAAAATTAAATCGCTTGTTGCAAAAGTCTTAACCAGCACTATAAAATGCGATTCATACAAAATTTTAATAAGGGAATTTCAATTTTTTGAGAACAGGTGCTATTGAGGATACTGCTCCGTAAAACAAATATTTTGGGCAAAATTTTCATTCAAGCTAAATTGCTAATGTAGCATCACGAGGCTTCCCATAGAATGGAAAAATATATAAGTGAGGTTGAATGCATGTATTCCGAAGACGACAGGGCAAATGGGCCTGGGCGTAGTCCGAAGGCCAGCCCACGTATACAGGGGCCAGACAAAATTTAAGGTGACCTCCAAACATCATGTAGTCACATAAATAAATTTTTACACCTAATTCCTAAATTCCTGACTTCCGAAGGTTACCTTAGCAGTCAATTGGCTAAGCTCCACTTGATGCCTTCTTCAGCCTTGTGGGTAGTCTTG